CGGGCTGCCGCCTCCGCCTCCTCGCAGGCCCCGAGGAGCCTTCCCTTCCCTTCAACGGCAAGGGAAACGCACGGCCCTGGAACCGGCCCAGTAACATCAGACGGCCCTTGCACATGGCCGATAAACCTTTGCAATTCCTCGGGAGGAAATTCAGCCCCATGAGTCGGTGCTGGAGTTTCTCCAGTCCACGTATCCCTGGTTTAATTAGTAAAAGGCAGCAGCGCAGGCGCCTGCCAATGGCAGCAACGTGGCAGGAACCAGGCAGCCCCGTCGGGAGCCAGAGTGCAGCACTAGGGTGTAGGTTAGGAAAAAGTCACAATTCAAAAGAATTGATTTTTTTTTTTTTTTTGTGAAAGCAACCCTCAGGTATGCTTTTGGCCCATATCCCCATGCTCCCAAGCTACACATACAACTATGTGAGGTAACACACAGTGCTTCCTACTCCTCATAAGGTGATTTAGCTCCCGTTTTAGCTGCCCCTACACGTGCACCTTCCCAGCAATTAATTCTTCCCGTCTAAATCAACTCTAGAACCCAGATTTGTAGAAGCCCTGTTATCTCCATTTTATTTCATAAACTTAAACTCACCTGTGTTCCTCTGCCAGCAACTGGAATGCTCCATATCCTTCACATCAAAAAACTAGGCAAGATTATCTTCACATCTTTTCAAATGTGTTTGGGGGTTGGGTTTTTTGGGGTTGGGGCGTGTTTGGGTTTTTGTGCTACCTTCCTTTCCCTAACCAGCCATTAAGGAAAAAAAGGGTAAAAGCAACATCTCACTTCGCTTTCTAATCAACTTTGCCATGTCTGACACAGCACACTGGAGAGACAGCATTGCTCCAGCATCTGCTCTGACTAGCTCTTGTCTCAGGAGGGAGGAGTTTCTTCTTCCACACTGGCTCCTGCTGTGGACAAAATTCCCACTCACAAGAACAATACTAGAACTAAGAGCACTGAAAGACTGGCCTTCTGGAGGTAATGACACTTGGCGAGTTTTTGGGTTGTTCTGGTTATTGTGAGATGCAGTTTACCTGCGTATTTGATATGTACAAAAAACAATCAGGTTCTGCCAGACCCTTCAGACTGGTCTGACAACTTGGAATCTGTATTATTTTTTTCCCTGACCTTGTCCATACCAGACAAAGGGGCCTTAGCTATCTGTGACAGTTAGTACTTTGTTAGACATCAGTATTTCTTGTATCACTGCTATTTTGAAGGGACTAATTCAAGCCTTCAGTAAAATGCATTTATGTACCATGATAAAGCAAACAATAATGAAAAGTATGATTGAGAGGAGAAAGAAAAGAAGGAAAAACTGGTGCAAAAGAAGGGGAAAAATATCCAACATGCTAAAGAGTCAGATGTTTCAACACCTCAAATTAATTGTGTAGTTGCCTCATTTCTCATATTCCTAGCATCCAAAAAAGAAGTTCCAAGACTTTCAACTCCCACTCAGTAAGAGGAAGGGCCTGAAACATTTCAGTTTTCCTAGAATTTGCATCAGATCCCTTAATAGAACCTGATGCTTTAAAAAATTTTTCTGCCCAATGCACACCACATTCGGTAGCCAAGCTTTATTCATGGATCCAAGAGCAGCATATCGAATGTAATTTCTTACTCAAGCCCCCTGAAAATACCACTCTTGACAAGGGTGGGAAAGATAGACTGGGACAAGGTGATGTGCAAAGTTTCATTATATTAGACTCAGATTGCCTTTGCCCAGACTTTAATGTAAAGATTACTCAGATGAGCAATGTGCTCTGAATTGTTATTACTGGCAAAACCCTAACCCACTTTTTACACAAGCCAGGCCATTGCTCTAAGTGCCCTTGTAGCATTCCATTGCCTCCAGTACATAGTTTTACTGGTGTATGTTGAAAACACTGAGAATAAACCAAGCAAGTACAACCCTTAACAGCATTCGTTGCTAATTCCTGATGCATTTAGAACCAATTTTTGTTCTGCTTGCAAACAGATGAACTAAAGTCTACAGATTATTTACAGAATAGCTGCAGAACAACTTCTAGATTATGTTGTTCATGAAGCCTTAAAAAAAAACCAAAACCAAACAAAACCAAAGACAAACAACAAATGTTCACTACCATCTACATTGTAGGATTGAGTGATCAGGTTAGTTACAGGTGAGAAACAAAACAAGCCTTTTGCTCAGGTCTGTATGTAATCTGAATATTCACACAGAACTATACTCCTAGCACTGGAAAAAACCAAAAGCCAGTCATGCATGTACTGAAAAATACAAGGAACAAATTGTGTCAGCATAAGCAAATAAAAGAAAAAAACCACTCATTCTTCAGTGTTTTGCTCTCTATAGTTAAGCTGGCCATCTGATACACTGAAATAAAAACTCTTGAATACAAATATTACTAGACTGACTCCCCAGTGCAGTAGAACTTACCCATTATTTGAATATAGAAGTTGATGCTACACAATGAAAAATTTCAGCTACTGGTACTCAGGATTTCCTGTCATTACAGTAGAATGAGGAACAAATTTTTAGGAGTCTTGTGCCTGTCCAAGATTTTGAACTTCTGGAACAAGAGCTCAGTTCTGGTCTTTGACTTCTGACAGGGAAATCACAAAGTTAGTATAGCTACACTCTTAACAGACACGACAAAATTGGATCTTCATGGGAATTTAATCTGCCTCTCGAGAGCAGGGCTCTGTTATACATTGTTACTAATATAAAACATACATAGGTCGCTATTATAATTGCTTTAGCCAGAAAATAACTATTTTAAAGAATGCCAAAAAGCAATAGAAGTATTTTTACCTATCCACAGTGTCTTAAGTGACAGTCAGTGCCTTTATCAAAGAATTGTACTGTGTTTAAGACTAGCATACAAATTATCACTAACTAATGAAGAGGATGTAGAATTTATCCTCTGATTTTCTGTAATCCAAAAAGGGAGAAGAGCCAGTGGTGAAGTGTTTCATCTCCTTTTAGTCTAAGAAAGGGTCACCACCACAGCTAATGAATTTACTGACACATAGCCATATTAATGGAATATGATACGGATTTCAATACTATGTCATGCTGATACTAAGAGATATCTTATCTTTAGCAACATAATAAAAAAAACACCTCATCAGGACTGTTTCCTCTTGCACTGATGGGCAAGCAGTAGCTACAAACATAGCATTAACTCCAAAGCAAAAAGCAAGCCACCTGGATTTCAGCTCATAGCAATAGCCAGTAAGAATATGCATAACAAACTACTTCATATTGTGTTATCTGAAGACAAGGCAGCTTTCTAAGCACATGTACCAACCCCAGGGACTGCTGCTTAGAATTAAGAACACAAAATCTAGAGCATACCTTGAAAATATTTAGAGAATTGAGAACAGTTGGTGAGAATATAACAACCCGAGAGAAAGTTTATTTACTTCTGTCAATTGTGACATTCTTCCACAGCCCATCAAGTATCTTGTCCCTTCCACAGCTCAGTATTACAATGAATAAACTGCTTAACAGAGAACTTGCTTCTAAGATTACAACCTTAGAGTACTCAGAGGCAAGTATCATTTTAGTAACAGACATCAAGTGTGATCTCAACCTATTTACAGGAAGATTGAAGGACTTGCTTCAGTTCCTCTCTATGCTCTGATTAACACTACAGTGACTGCTGAATTACACCCAAGAATTTTATTGACTTAGTCTTACTACACTTCAGAGTAAGCTGTAGCTTTAACCCCTCATTCAGATCCCATCGCTGTTAAATGGGGCTCAAGATCTTTACTACTTTCTGACTTCACTGAAATTACTCATTTTATGGCAGAATTTGAAATATGACACATACACATGCTGTAACTCAAAAATGTAGTGGCTAAGCAGAGCTCACCTAAGCCTGAGTATTTAATTACTTAAAAGCATGTGAAAGAGTTTAACCAATGAAATCTTCACCTCTACCAAACAGAACCTTTCCTTGAAGGTAATAGGCCTAATTTGTTTTTAAGTACCGGCTTTTTTATTTAAAGTCCAACTGTAACTTCCTCCTTGGAAGAGGAAATGGCATTTAATTTGTCACAAGCAGTGTTTCATTTTAACCTATTGGGACTACCAATGCAATCCACATTACAGACGAGCCACCTCTTCAGAACAAGGTGCCCCTTTTAACGATTATTTCAAGGAATGGCACTGCTAGAAATATGCATATTAACAGCTACTGATCCAATGCATGGGTAATCAAATTTGGTTAATACGTAATCAGCAATTCATCAAAAGGTGCAAGCAAAACCCTACTCACACCGTCTCCTGGGTTTCTGTTACATATTGAAGACAGTTAATGACTGTACTCAAAAGCTCTGGAATTTTCTCTGGTTAGTTGTGCTGACAGTAATGCTACTTCCTAGAAAATTAAACCCCAGTTACAACAGAAACCGCCTTGGAAGTTGCTCTTAACCTAAACTAGCTTGAGTTTACCAGACCTTGTCACTGGGGTTTCTTGTAGCAAGGGTAACAAGACCTGGGCTAAAAATAAGAGAGGAGCTTAGCCTAAAACTGCAATGATATCATGCTTTGGGTTCCTACAAACATACAATTAATAAAACAGAATATTTCAGTTGGAGGATTGAGTCATATTTCCATCCATACAGCAGACAGGCAACAGAAAAATAAATTTTAAAATACCCATTAGCAGCAGCCTCAAAAAGCATATTAATTTAAGCCTTTTGAACTACAGAGGTATAAGGGGGCAGAAATATGAAAGCAGACAGTGGCCGTTGCACAGAGCTGATTTTTTGGGGTGACTATCACCATTAATGTAACATCGCAACAGAATTTGTGATTCACCTGCTAGAACCCATGTTGGTTTTTAGAGGTAGGTACAACTATGAAACAGACATGCATGCTTTTCAGGCAGTTAGTATTTGTTTTATTACAATTTTTGTAACTCTTAGTATTTTCATATCTGGACATCTTAAAAGGAATTTTAGATTTACAACTTCAAAAGACACAGAATTATATAAGTCTTGATGACAGCTACTCTACTGCACTGTAATCAACTTTGTTGCCCACCTTCCATGTCCCGCTCTACATAGCTTCAAACAAATTGAAAAGCAAGACTGATGTTCACATTCAAGTTGCAGGAAAGCTCAGTATATGGAAAAAACAGTAAATGGTAACTTGCAGTTCAACTATTTCAGGAATCAAGAAGAGCATACACAGAACTATACATTTTATCATTTTATTAGGAATAATTCCAAGTGGGTTATGAAGAAACTAATCCATTGAGTTTGATGAATTTTCCAAAATTTCTTTATGAAGATATGTTCACCAACAAACAGTAAAACTTCAGCAGAACTATTATACACTGGGCAAAAATAGTCAGGCTGATACCAAAAAGCAACATGCAACATAAAAACCCAAAAAGATACAATATAAAGGAAGACAATCTGCTGAATATTAAAAACAACCTCAACATGAGCTCTTCGCAACCAGCACAGAACTATTCTACCCATCAAATCCAATTCACACAAAGGCAAGTTGGGCTGACAGAACCCAAGGATTAATAAAATGTTCCTCAGTGCAGTAGATTTGTATAGTGTTTTAGAGCATTTCCTTGGCTGGAACAAGCAGTATTAGGAATTCTTTTTGGCAAGGGAGAGAAATAAATACATACGGAATGCTACATTTTTAAATCAGCAGACTGTCTGAGGAATGAAACAGGGCATCAGTAAACTAAAAGTAGCAGGGAGGAAAAAAAATTAAAAAAACACATTAATTTATTTGGGCTCAAAAGAGTATTCAAAACAGATCTTAAAGATGTCACAATAACTATATTCAGGCATTTAGGCTAACAAGGGGAGTAAAATCAGAAGATACACTTTTTCCAAGTTAAGGAAATCTTTACCCAAGCATATTGCTACCTTTGCAACATGTAGCTCGGTAAACAGTAATTGGCAACAAAGTAAGTTGAAACGCTGTAATATCCTGCCCAAATATCAGTTCCAGATACTGTAATAACCAAGATGCAAACTAATTTTGTTGTAACAAGCCTAGACCACTTATATCAAACATGTCCCTGGTGAAAGAGTCATCCAGTTTGAGTTAGCGTTTTGATAGTTCATTTGACAGCCAGTCAAGTCCCTCATACAGACCAGTTCCTTGCGTAGCACAGGTAGCCTGGACATACCACTGTTAATGCAGAACACAAAGATTAAATTTAAACACTGACAAAATGCTAGTTAAGTTACCACAACATGTGACACTCAGATACACACTCAAATAGTGTTCTTTAAACACTGTTTTGTGCCATAAGTAGAGAGTTATGTTCATAATATTGAAGAGATGGTATTTTTCTAAGTTTTGAAAAGCTTATCTAAAGTGGATGGGATTCAGACATTATCCAAAAATTCAGTATTTGGACTACCAAATACTAGAACACCATTTAGTGCATCAAGAAACAAATACAGAACTCGCATTTGGTTTATATGCTGAAAACTACCTTCTTGTTTTTGAAAGACTGTTCTTCAGAAAATGGACATGGAATTATCTAAATTAACAGAACTCTAAAACATCTTCTATGGATACTATCTTAGTGTATCAACATACAGACATTAAGCAATAGACTATTACAGAAGGATAGATGGTTTATATAAGGCAACCCTATGTCTCAAAGGCTTGTGCAGATGGAATCTAACCATTCAGGAGATACTTAATTGCCTCCCATCTTTGTAGTGGTGAGAATGCAGAATGCATTTTCTCCCCTAGAATAGCAAGTATTGGGAAAACAGGAAAGCCCACCACATACGTTGCCAAACATGTTTGACAGCTATATTCCACGGACAGACGGGAATGTTTCTATTTTTCTAGGAAAAGGTGAGAGATGAAACACCTGCAACAGTTGCACACTTCTGGGATTACACTTCTAAATCACTGATTTTGAACAAGGACCTTAAACTATGCACTACAGAGCTTAATAGCAGGTATGTGCATCTTTCTACAGAAAGAGGTGAAAACTTCCTCTTCCTTTAAATGGAGATTATGTTTATGATACATAATAAAGGCAGACAGGAGATCAGCAACCAAGAAGTTTAGCACTTACAGTTCTGTTACGCAGAGACTGAAGACCTAGTTTATCTGTCATTTCACTGATTGCCATGGCATTTGGCAGATCTTGTTTGTTTGCAAACAGAAGCAGCACTGCATCTCGCAGCTCATCCTCCTGAAGCTAGCAGAAAAAATGGTCATGTTATTAAATTAGCTCAGTTAAGTACTTAAATTACTTCAACTAGCACTAAAGAAACCTAAATACTGATTTAAGGATTATAAACATTTTCATTCTTGCTCCTGAAGTCACTAGCAGGTACCAAGCGAAATTTAACTAGTACTCAACAGTACGGAAATATTCTTTCACTAGGCAGTTTAAATTTACCAGCAACTTGCTGTAAAATTCTTAGCACCAATCTGTTTTGCCAAAATTCTTTCTTCATTTGCTGCATTTCTACTGAGGTTTTACGAAGGAAAGAAAGGTTCCTACTTTTTAGTATTGTAGTTACAACTCAGTACACTATGTGACCCAGAATTACCAGATGAATACAATATGCACTGTACAAACTCCCTAAAATTTTAAAATCCTAAATCTCTTAGGGAAGCTGACACACATCTAAAAATATGACAAACTATAACAACCGTATTTCAGAAGGTCATCGATATTTACCATTTTCTGCAGCTCTTCTGCTGCTTCCTGGATTCTTTCTCTGTCATTGCTGTCTACCACGAAAATGAGACCCTGTAAGAAATTAAGCACTTTTGAAAAGCCAGTGTAAATATGCAGTACTATTTTAAAAACACAAAACCCCCATATTGAATATTGTGACTGTTCCCTCTCTTAGGTAAGCAAATATGACAGAAAACTGTTTAAAAAAACGCAACATGTCTGTCTGAACAAGTACATAGTAAGTTTCAACTGCAAAATAAAGCTAGGCCTTCTAAATAAAAAAAGTTAAACACCACAAATGTCAGTTTATAGATTAGTGTGGGATTCATTAGTTTGGAGGGGGAAGACACCAGCGAAGTTTTCAAAGCTAACTCTTCCCCCCATCCCTTTTCTCATTGCAGCAAGAGAGTCACAAGTGCTTCACCATTTCATGTTTCACTAAACACCCCACACCCTGAAAGGTCTGAATTTGTTTTTTAAAAAAAAAGTTTTTACCAAACAGTATTTCCAACAGCATCTCTGTTATTCAAGTGTCCTCCTTAGACACTATTTACTCTTAAAATTTCAGTCTGAAAACATCACGTTTTTATCACTCTCTAAGAAAACAGAAGCATCTTTTAAAGGTATTTAGTAACAGGGTTGAATAAGGAACTGAAATTAAATATTACTCTATTCACAACAGTACTTTGCTAGCTCCTTTTCGTCAATCCAGACTTCTCCATTTTTCTGACCAATCACATGCATTATGCTGCACAGAAGTTTCTTGGAAAAAAAATCTATATTCAAAACAGGGGAAAAAAAAACCCCAACAAAAAACCAAAACACTCCTGAAGTTCCCTAATAAGCAACTTACCTTACTACCTGTGAACCAAAAGAATCACATTTATGTCACCAGAAATGACACATCAACATGAAGCAGACAATTTCTAATCAATTGGTAACAAGATCTTTTATGGTATTTTTAGATATTCAGCATTCTAAATACACTGATATAGTACAGTAAAATCTGTATTATTTTAAGTCTGACTAGAAAAAAGCATACATAGAAGGGTGTTTAGACAATTAACATAAGCCAATACCAGTTCAAACAGATCAAAGCACAGATACAGCAAAGCTGAAGAGTTCCTCAAAAACAAACCAGCTGCTCTGGCACATTACAGAACACTGGTAGATCCTAAAGGACTTCATCCTTGCCAGGCCCTCATGACTAGACTTGAAGCCTTCAGGGTAAGAAACCAGCTTCAACTAGAATAAACTCTGGGTATCCCTAAGAACTTGCAGGAAGTAGTGAGGAGCCTTTCTGAAAGGAATGGACAGAAGACAACTTTCCATGTATAATGAGACTTTACAAAACAGATCTTTAACAATTGCCATCTCAGAACTCTTACCTGTGTGTTTTGGAAATAATGCCTCCAAAGAGGTCTAATTTTATCTTGACCACCAACATCCCAAACTGTGAAACAAATGTTTTTATATTCTACTGTTTCCACATTAAAGCCTAAAAGAAGAGTCAAACAGTTAGAAATAGTTAATGCTTCTGTTAAAATGTAATTCTAATCATGTTCAAGTTATTTACTTCCTAAGTTATATTTCTCCCAAATGTATATAAAATGGCTTATCAGAATTGAATTGCTAGAGAAAGCAGAAAATTATCTGAAGTGGGGGGAATCAATCAATAAAATCCAAGTACACCGCCTTTGGTTCAGCAAATCTTTCAGCCACAAACTGCTAGAGGTTCATGGTGTTTGGGGGAAGTACCACTACTTAATTGCTTGCTATACGCCTGAGCATCTGCTACTGGCCACTGTCAGACACAGGATTCTGGTCTAGATGTATCTTTGGTCTGACACAGTTCTGTTACAGCAGTACCTGAAAGACATGTTTGTCTTGATTCTCATACTAACAGCAAAGATAGCAAATCCCTACACCCTTCAGAAGCCCGCCTGTACAACACAACTTTAGAGTAACAAGAATGAAGACATGAGAATTGGCTGTCTTACCAATAGTGGGAATTGTGGTGACAATTTCTCCTAGTTTCAGTTTATAAAGAATAGTTGTCTTACCAGCAGCATCCAAACCAACTAGAATAAACAGAAAATTTTATTTAGTTCACAATATGAACCACAACCTGCTAATTTAAAAATGTGCCGTTTTACATGCAGAGTATTTGGGTTTTTTTTTTCCTGAGAAGAAAAAACTTTTTAAACACTCTTAAGTAATTGCTGATATACTACAGTATGTTTCTCCCACGTCCTCTACCCAGCACTGAAAGACAGAATAAGCAATGAAGAAAACAAGCTCAGTAACATTTCTATCCACAACCTACAGGCTCACAAGTTTCTAGTCATCTTCCTTAGTACTTTTGTTACTTAATTAAGTTTTATCATTCACTTTGAAAGTTTCTTTTGTGTAAGTCAGGATGGTTTTAAATGCCTAGAAATTACGTGTTGCTTGTGGATTGTTGCTAACTTGAGTATGAAGTAGCAAACGTCATCAAGTTGGGGAAGGTCTCACTCAACCTTCAGCTAAGGCCAGTTTCACGTGCACCTGAACCAACAGGAGTTAGCACTATCAGTGAAAGACACTTCAGACTCCCTCATGCCAGTCCCTTATCCCTTTGCTAAAACATTTCTTTTGCATTGACAAAAACACATACATTAGGGAACTCCTGCTGTCCCTCTGCATATATCCTAAGGGCTGTAACTCTTCTTCAGGTTATCACTTCTATTCACTGAGATCCACTAAGATGCTTTCTGTAGGAGTCTCAACTTTTGATCTTTATAGAAGGCCCTCTGTACTGAAATTTGCTCTTCTGTTTCTAGAATAAAACTTCGCTTACACTGAAAAACAGCAAGCTTATATGGTAAATGTGTGATCCTTAAAAAAAATTACAAAAACAAATAAAACCAATAAACCCCAAACTGAAGCCTCAAAGACATTTTTTGACAAGCATCACTAACACCACAGGCATACTCTATAGTTTTCTAAAACTGTCTGTGCAACTGCTCATTGTTAGGCATTTCAGAAGACATAAGAGCAACTCAAAATACAATTCTTTAGGTTAGAATCCAATGCCTAGCACATAAGCACTTAAATAAACAGTAGGTACTTAATACTTACCACAGCAACAGTTTGAATGTCTATTTGTGAAACTTAAAAGAGTCAATAAAATTTTGTCCAAACAAAAACAAAACCCCCATCAAAGAATTAATTAAATAATACTTGCACAAGAAACCAAATGTTATCCTTGTTTGATAACATTCTTAAGTGTTTTGAGTTAATTTTCTACTTAGTGACTGTGATAGACTAAGCTTTAAGTGGTTTGATGACTTGACTATTAATAATACAACTGTTTCCTTAGCATTGCAGTAAAATGGAATTTGATATTACCTACTTATTCAGAATGAAACCAGGCTCTTGAAAAGCCTCCTCCTTCTCAAGATACAAACTGCTGTTACAGCAAACTAATTAAAAAAACCTATCCATAATTGTCCTATATTCTGATACTGTGAACAGGTTTATACATGCCAGTGCAGTTTCTTTGGCATTGTCATTGCATGTTAAAAAAAAGCTGTTCTCATTATTAGTATCATGAAACAAAGGGGGGGGGGGAACTCTACCATCAAAACCAAAGCTCCTTGAGGAGTAATAAACTCCCAAAAGGCTCAAGTTAAAATTTAACAGTTTTAAGTTTGTTATTGTGTAAGTGTTGGTCTTTTTTAGAACCATACACAAGCATGAACAACAACAAAAAAAGACATGGTGCAGCAGAAGTTTCACAAGAGCTTGCAAGTCATGAAACTTGTAAATATTAGCATTTTCTCTACACCAATAAAGCATCAGGTAGCCTTAGAAAACCCTTTAAGCGAACTCTGAAACCCTCAAATACTCCATCAATGCCGAAAACCAAGGTTTTTAATAGCACAATGCTTGAAGCCCAACACTATTCTCACACAGCTCAGCTTCAAGTGAGCATTTGTAGGATGCCTAGGTCTTTACAAGAAAGCATAACGTACGTACGTGACATATATGTGGTAGTTTTCCATTAAGATTAAGATTGTTTAGTGAACCACTAATTAAAGCTACACATACTCACAAGCTCTTCTCCCACCTCCCCCCAAAAAACCCAGTTATCAGTAGAACAAATACTGAAAAGATTTGTTAAAAATCAGCAACAAAAGGAAAATGGCATTATCTACACAAATGGTTTTAGTGTATTTAGGGGTTGTACTAAAGATACAGATAAAGACAAAGAAAAAAGCTAACCTCATTTCAAAGAACATACACAGGGTATCGAGAACCATTTGAAAATATGACTCAGAGTTAAGAAGTTAGAAACTAGTCAAGAATTATAAACTATTTCCTAAATTTAAGAAATTACTGTCCCAGTTATCCACTCTGCTTTCCTGCCAAGACCCACCACCACCTCAATGGCATTGGCAGAAGGCTACATCAGCTATATAAGTGCAAATCCCAGAGACTTTGCTTAAATCCACTCTTATCCACAATTCTAATTAAGCTGTTGGACTTTGCACTGAGGCAGGCTGAATTCTGGATACGTATTTTCTTCTTCTGACTCCACACTTGAGACAGCAGCTTTTAACTGAGGGAAGGCAACTTCTGCAAATCACCATGACCCTGTTTGCAAAAACTGCCTCTTTTAGCCAAATTGTGAACATTATCAAGTCTAAACAAGCAAAACTCATCAAGAGCACAGCCTCCATTCATACTTCTTACTCCAATTTGCCGTTTACCACCTTTTTTAGAACAAGAAACTTCAGAGCACCAAATCACATTTAGTCTTTTGAGCAGCCAGGAAATGTGTCACGGTTTAGTCCCAGATGGCAACTAAGCACCACGCAGCCACTCACTCACTCCCCCCCACGGTGGGATGAGAAAGAGAATCAGAAGAGTAAAGTAAGAGAACTCATGCATTGAGATAAAGACTGTTTAATAGGGAAAGCAAAAGCCACGCACGCAAGCAAAGCAAAAGAAGGAATTCATTCACCACTTCCCATCAGCAGGCAGGTGGTCATCTCCAGGGAAGCAGGGCTGCATCACACGTAACGGTTACTTGGGAAGACAAATACCATCACTCCAAATGTCCACCCCTTCCTCCTCCTTCCCTCAGCTTTATATGCTGAACATGACGTCATATGGTATGGAATGTCCCTTTGGTCAGTTGGGGTCATTTGATCCAGCTGTGTCTCCTCCCAACATTTTGTGCACCCCCAGCCTACTCACTGGTGAGGTGGGGCAAGAAGCAGAAAAGGCCTTGACTGTGTATAAGTACTGCTCAGCAGTACAAAAACATTCCTGTGTTACCACCGTTGTTTTCAGCACAAATCCAAAACACAGCCCCATACTAGCTGCTCTGAAGAAAATTAATTCTATTCCAGCCGAAACCAGGACAAAGTGTAAATACTGCTTTTAGTAGTCCAAGAATAAACACATGTTTACATTTGCACTGGACACTAAATGTAAATCTATCAGCTATTTTGTCAAAGTTTAAGTTGGTTTAACTATCAAAATTAAAACCTAAGTCTTAAATCCCCAAATAATGTCAAGTAAATGTCCAGTTCTACATTTTCATTCTGATTCCACTGTGTGACTGACCACTGATAAGACCAAGGTATAAGAATCTCGATGTAGGGTACGATGGTCAGCAGTTGTACCACAAAGCACTAAGATTACAATAAAGTACAAATGGGACGCACAAACTTGCACTTGCAACCATTTATCTTTAAACCAAGTCAAACACCTGCCTCCTCTAGCTGGAGAAAAATTATCTACAACGCTTTCTGTTGCTGTTAAAACCACTGTGGTTCTAAGCCCTTTACTCCTCTTAAGAGTGTTTTATTCACAGTCTGTCGGTTGTGTTTCTAAATCTCAAGCTTGCCTCCTAGGAACAGAACCCCTGTGACCACATTACATTCCTCATTTACCAACTTTCTACTTTGATCATTGGTGGCTGAATATCAAGCTGCCTCAGCTAGCACAGCACAGAACTCCATATAAAGTACAGACGCAGAAAAACTGAGAATTGACTTTTTAAATGGAATCCCCATTAAGACCAATAGATATTGGTTGTCAGATTGAGATTTCCATAGTTTACTACAGGATACAGCATGTTGCTGCTTCCAACATGAACATTCCCCATAATCAGAGAAAGAAATACAGCAGAAGCTTTTTTTTTTTTTAACTGATTCATGACATTCATGTTACAAACAAAAGCCAGCTTAATAAACTTAAATTAACAAAACCAATTTACTAAGGGTTTTTATACCTTCCCTTTTCTTTTACCATTATACTAGTTCTCTCAAAACTTGTCCTATTTATCCTTTACATACTATTCCTCTTTCAGGTTTAGTTTTAGGTAAGTCTTTGGGGGATATGAAGTAGTCATTCTCAACACAGCTTCTCAAGAAAACACACACACAAAACACCCCAACAGCATGGAAACCAACAGTGGTCAAAAAAAACCCAAACAAAAAACAACTAAATGGTTTTGCACTGTATGGTGATACAATTCCCAAAGAATCTGACATTTTTTTCCCCAATGTATTTAATAATTACCTTTGTAGTCGAAGGTCCTGAGTAGCTATTATCTCAGTTAACACTTGCACAACTACACCAAGACACAGAACACTAAATTATGATACTGAAAGGTACACAATGAATCAATAGCTTCTCTTTTTTAAGCACAAGAAACTACGAGTGAAGAGCTTTAGAGACAGGTACATGTAGGGTTAGGACTCAGTTTTTCCACTCTAATGCCCTGGTTGCCTAGTCTAACTTTAAAGTCATTCAATCCTATCCTACAGTTATTTCTTTTCCCTTGTGTTACTTGCCTCTATAAGGCAATGCAGGAATTATTTTACATTGGCTTCCTCAGAATCACGTTAACTTAGTATTTCTGAAAAATAATTGTACAAGTGCAGTTTAAAAAAATAAAGTTCAGTAACAGCATGCCATGAAATGTCCACCTTTTACCATAAATGTAGTTTGAGAATATAAAAGATAGCGTGTCGTGTTTGCTGTCAGTAATGCTACCTGACGAGAAATATTCAAATCCTGCAAAATTC